TGCCCACACAAGTCAGTGTAAGTACTCTGGATTCTCCTCAATTCTCTTGCTGTTAGCTACAGAGGCTCCTAAGAGAAATCACGCAGCTAAAAGTGCACGCCTAAAGCTCAGTTCTCTGAGCAGCCCTCCATGGAGCATTATTTCTGTGATAGGATTGCATCTGGATTTTTGACAGCCATGGAGCGTAGCATGATTCTGTCCCAAAATAGAGTATGTGCATATTCATCAGTCTGACGTGCTGGTGTCTACCCAAGCAGTAGCTTAATCTGTCCTGCAACTTGGCTTGACATCACAGGACAAAAGTGAACACTGACTTTATTCATTTGAACAGCTTTTTTTGGAATTGTGATAAATGTAAGGTATCAATTAGGAAAAAGAATCACGTCCTTTTACATCTACATCCAGACTATTTCCTGGTGGGTTGCATATCCCAGAAACAGTGCCTCCGTTTCTTTTTTTCCCATTAAATGATCTCCTGATGTAACAGTTAAATGAGTTCTGGGTCATGTTCACCACTATACACTGGGGCACTGTAATTACATTGAAATAGGGCTGGAGAGGCATTGGTCAGTCAGATACAAATTTCATGACTGCTTTAAATACTGTATTTGGGAATTCTTAATGAAAGAAGAGTACATGTATATATTTGTGAGAGGACAGGGAGCTCCTATGGGGTGCTATAAATGGAAAAGTGCTAAGTATATTAATTATCTATAGAACAATTAGTATTCAGCTTATCCCACAATTCAGATCCAAACTTTCCCTAATGGGTGAATTTAGCCTTTTGCTTCAAGCCTTACCCTGCTAGTGATTAACAGAACTGACCTGGTCCAGCCACAGAACAATACATATAACCATGCCTGTGTGTTGCTCCTGTTTGTATTGTGGGCAGCTGGAGCTGATCCAGAGAAATCTATGAAGAGATTCTAGACTGACTGTGGGGTGGGTGAGAACTAATTACATTCATTCTCTGCATCAAATGTCTTAACAGAATAGGAAACAAGCTTAAATAATCCTGAAACACTTGAATTTATGAAAACAAACCTGCAATTTTCAGTTAGTTGCTAGCACAAATCACTTTGCAACTACTTTGCTAATTCAAACGCCACTCAAGTTAGCAAAATTGTTCCAATTCCTACACTAACAGGTCTTTAAATGTTTTCAGGAAGTCCTGGAAATAAATAAAACTGCCATTTCAGTGCTCCTAAAAGACTGCTACAACAGACTGTCTTGACAGTCACAAGGAGAAAAACTTCCAAGAACATGAACTCATTTGCAGGGAAATGGAGCACTGAGATGAAACAAGGACTCCTCACAGCACAGCACAGGTCTCCCCACAGTACTGAGCAGGTCAGTTTTCCCCTGCTTCCCTGTAGAACAATACTTCTGTACAAGCTGAAATACTTGGGTTTGGAATATGAGAGACCTCCATCCAATCTTGTGTGGCTCATCTCCAGGTGACCCACCTTTAGGGGCGCATGGGGGAGTCAGAGCATTGAGCTGCATGACAGAAGTACCCTGCTGTGTGCACACAGCCTTAATTCCCATGGGCTTCCTTGTTTCCTTTGTAAAAAGTGTGGCTTTACTGTCATGAGATACTGAGATGAAATAGATGAAGAATTTTAAATTACTGTGCAATGGATACAGCATGAGAACTTTAGGTATCACATTACTTAATTTCCAGTTTATAGTTTTCCTGTGGGATTACAAGGCAGCCTGATTTACTGTTATCTCAGGAAGGATAATGTATGGCTAAATATTGGAAGATGCTTGGGTGGGGTTTTCTTCAGACAAGCAGAACTCAGTCTGGAGTCTTGCATGGCCATGGACTGTTCCTGTGACCTCCTTTCCTGTAAGTGGTGTTTAAGGCTGGGTGGGGAAAGGTTTCTGTGAACATCTTGAGTGCTGTATTTGGAAAGGCTTGAGTCCATGATCTAGCCAGAGAACAACAGTTCTGTGGAACAGCATAGAAGTGTTGCTCACAGACCTCCTTTATTATTTCCATAGTCTTTTTCTCTGTTTAATAACTCAGAAGGGTTGCAAACAGAGGCAATGGTAGGCAGTTGTGTGACCATGCTGAGAAATAACAGATTGTTTGGTTTAGAAAGACACTGCTTGCATTACCACCAGTTTACCATTCCTCCGCTGGGCATACTGCACTCTCTTAAAAATTTCAGTTACTTTCTTTTTTCCTAAGAGTAGGTGGGGAAAAAGCAATATGCTCATTTTTGCCATAGGAGAGCAGAGAGCATGGTCTGAAATTTGGTTTGTTTGAATGTCTGCTGCACTGGGATTGACTGTACTAATCAAACACAGTCCCACGTTAATGCCAGTTTGTTCCAGCAAGAGCTGTGATCCAGAAATGCCTCCCTCACCTCACTTGGAACTGGGGAAGCCCAGCCCAGCTGACCAGTCCCTCAGGCCAGTGCAGGGTCCCAACAGCATCTCCTTATGTGACTCTGCACTTGAGAAGAGTTCATAGTGCTCAGGATTTGCAGCAACTCTTCTCTCTTAGTGCTGTGGAGAACCAGTGAGGAAGTTCCTCATATCATGTCTGTTAGTCCCAAACAACCTCAGAATGTTAAACTACCATTTTGTTCTTTATGTGGACTTTGACTTGTGTGTGCAGCCACTGGAGCTTCTCTCCAGAACCACTGCAAGCTATGAACATGCCTTTGAGGAGAGTCCTATCAGCCAGCAGTACAGCTAAGTGTACTGGAGAGACCATATTCTGCCTTACAACAAATCCTACTGTCAAGCTATAGCATCCTTTGAAATCAGGGAAAGAAGACCTTTGAAAGATATCTTGAAACTGTCATGTCTTTAGCCCATCCGCTTTGCCCATCATGATAAGCAATTTATCCAGCATCTTGCCCTACTCATATCACTGGGAAAATTGCTGCTCTGTGCAGAGTGATCAGTTTCTTTTTCAAGACTCAGCTTGAAGTGCAAGGCTGTAAGCAAGAATATTGGGTACTCTGACTCATTTTCTTGGAGGGCTATTTTTGTGATTGTTCCTGGAACTACGTCTTAAAACTCTCAGTTGATGTTCTTAAATCATTTTCACAGCTTTTCTGCTGAGCCACCTCAGCACAGGGGTTACCTCTGAGGTTAGAATCTTTCCCAGATTCCCAGGAATGTATCTACCCCCCATCAATGCCGTCTGTGAAACCAAACTACTGGCCCAATACCTCCTTTTCCTTTCTCTCAGTAAGTGGTTAGAAGTCAGTGTCATTTAAAATTGAATCTCTTGTCCTAACAGGATATACTTCTTGGATTTTAAAGGATCTACATAAAACAAACCACTAGATTCAGCTACAATAACTGCCTGGTGACACAACTCTTTTTCTCAAGAACCTCTTAATGAACTCTCATTATAACAAATTGCCCCTGAATAATACCCTCTGTAGCTCCACACATCTCACCACTTCCTGTCTCCTGCTTTCTTTACAATCCATTAGCATCCCTTAGCAGCCTCATTTGAACAATTAAACTTTACTGTTTCTAGAAATGCACAATTCTACTATTAGGTCTGTGCTGTGTTTGAGAGACCTGGGAAGGGATTCACATGGTCTAATTTAACAGATTCCTCCTATAGTTCATGGTCCTCTGAGAAAGAAGTACTGCAGGTTGTTGGCCTGATGTGACTGGTAACTCCACCAGCCTCTGAATTACCCTCTTGGAGGTCCCCTAAAAGGCACTCAAACTAAATGTCTCATGTTAGACAGGGAAAATCTACATCCTTTCCTCATACCCAAGTTTCAAGTCTCCCTGGCTAATCTTTGCACACAATTTAGTCTCTTCTATATAACTGATGTGCAGCAGCTTTTTGTTGTGCTTGTTAATGTTCAACATTAACGGCTCAAACTGCCCTAAGCGAGCTGGATGTTCTCACTCACATGTCTGATAATAGGTTCTTATTTACCAGTGTTTCAACTACAAGCAAACTCAAACTTATGAAGGCACTACAATGTGTCCCTGAAAGTACTCTCATGGATGGAAGACCTGAGTGGCACTGGATGGTGCTGATCCCTTGTGGAAGATACATCCAATGGTCTCCATCCCCACTGAAATCAATTCAAAGTAATTGTGTGGTGTGATGTGAACTGTGTTTTCTGAGCTTGCCTGGTAACTGTGCTTAAAGTCCCCTGAGAACAAACGTATCAGAGATTTTACAGCTACAAAGAGCTTGTGCCTGAACACTAATGGATACATTGGCAAGCACCATGTAACTTGGTATTTCTTACTCTTTCCTAAAGACATAGGCTATGTTCTTTTGACATTTTGAGAGTTCAGCAGATTCTCATTCCATGTTATATTCCAGGCATGCAGTCGAGAGATTAATTAATTCATGAAAGTAAAAATACTGCACTTGCATTTCTTATGTCTTTACTGTGTTAATTGCATTGTCTCTTGCAGGTTGAATCCAGAAACTGGAAACATGGCTCCATTCAAGTCAATTGCAAAACTCCCAGTGACAGAAGGAGTTCATTCATAAAGCTCATAGCACACATTGCTCTTTTCTGTAACTTCCATTAATGAAATGCTCTCAGGAGGAGCTAGGCAGTGCAAAATCTCAACTCCAACCTTCATCTGATGTCTCTCCATTTTGCTGAAGCTCCATGCAAGTATAAAGTTCTTTTTTTTCCAATATCATATGGCAGAGCCTATTCCTTTCTAGGTGCAGGCTTTTCCTGAATACGTTTCCTCACCACCTTCAAGACCATGATGGAAGCAGATCCTTATTTGCTTGTTTTGTGGGGTTGGGGTTTGTTGGGTTTTTTTTTCCATACATTAGGGTTGGGAAATAATACAGATTCATTTGCTTCCTCCTCCTCCTGCAGCCCCCAAAGTGGATTTCACCTTAGAGATGTTTAGTGAGGACTGAATCACTTGCTAAAATTGGCAAAAATACTCTGGGCCTGAGCTACCAAACTGCTTTTAGTTGGTCATTTTCTGCCGATCTTCAGTGTTTTCGCTAAGTTTAGCAAATCACTGGGGTCAAGGGAAACGCCTTTGCTGATGGTGCCCGCTGGCACTAGAAACGAGGGTGTAAGAACACAGCGAACTTCTCCCCGGGGGTAATGCAAACTCCTCTAAAGTCGTTCAACTGCAAACGGTTAACAAGTTTCGGGAAGGACCGGAACAGCCGAGGGCCATGTGGCTCCGGACCCGCCGTGCCAGCGGCGGCGGAGGCTCCCAGCGCCGGGCAGGGGCAGCCGCAGGACGGTGCTGCAAACCCCCGACGGCTTCTGTTCGTTTCTTCCCCCATAGCTCCGGTGAATTTGCTCCCCGGTTGAAAGGTTCCGCCTAAGAGGGGCCGTGTCCCCGTCCGCTTCCCCCCCCCCCCCCCGCCCTGCGGCGCTGCCGGGCGCGGCTCCTTGGCTCAGCGCCGCGGGTCCCGCCTGCCCGGTGCGCGGCGCTGGGCTTTCCCGGCCGCCCTCCGCACCGCACCGCACCGCAGCCCCATGTCCGCGCTCCCCCCCGGCGCCGACATCAAGAGGGCTCTGGAGAACAGCCCCGAGACCAACATCGAGGATGAGCTGCCCGAGGAGCCGCCGCAGCAGCGGCCCAAGAGCTACCTGGTCCTCAGCATCCTCTCCTGCTTCTGTCCCGCCTATCCCATCAACATCGTCGGCTTCGTCTTCGCCGTCATGGTGAGTAGCCTCCCCCTGGGTGCCCGAGCCACTTTCGGCTTGGGGCTGGGTGCTCGGCGGGGCGACCGCCGGCTCCTCGGGCGCCGCGCTCCCGGCCGGGACCTGCGGGAGCAAAGCGGAGCTGGAGGAGCCGTCAGGCTAACGGGCACCCAGCCGTCTTTTAACCGCTTGTCCCTGACCCTGTGGACAAAAGGAGGTGAGGCAGCGAGGCTGAAAGCATCAGCAGGCTCGGTCAGGGTGCCCATGTAGCTGTCCTAGCAGCAGATGACTGAGGAGTAAAAGGCTGTTCAAGTTTTCAATATCAGGCTATGTAAGGGAGAGAGGTTTATGCCAGTCACTGGGATTTGTTCCATCTACTAACTTGCACACTAAATTGGACACAGATCTATGTGTAAAAGGAGCAACTGGGCTCTGATTTGCAAAGGAACATATATGATTTCTCTTTCAGCTAATCAACTATGATATAAATGCCTTTTTCCAGTAAACATGTTCTTTAGCTTCATCCAAGCTCTTTGCTAGAATAAAACACACAACAGTTACAATTGTAGGTTGGTGGCAAAACCTTTTATAAAATTGAGTGTCTAGCACATTGGGAGAACAGCCTTACTCCTACAACCCATAATGATTTGCATAGTCCTTAATAGTCCAGCAATCCCATTAACTTCAGGAAGATTGTTAGAATAGAATCTTCCTCTCTGAATCAGAAGTTGCAGAGTCAGATCCAGATTTTTCAAATAGTATACATGATCAGTGTTCTCTGTAATACTGCAATGTATTTCTGTTGTTTAGGAGCTGAAAAGGGTTTAAAACATGTTGTGTATTTTCATCCTTTTCTCTGACAGCCAGGCTGAAAACGTAAGTAAAATATTCTTTCTTTTTGCAATTAAGTATAAGAACAATTCCCAGTGTCTAAAATGTACTAAAGCACTTTCCTACAGCTAGTAAGACTGGTCACAAATCACATTGCTTAAGCTTGAAAATCCCTTACAGGAACTATTCCACCTTCACAACCTATTTTGACCAGATAAAGATTAGCTGACTTTTTCCCCCCTCTGTGTTTATTTTCTTTGTTATTAACTTTAGAATATGCTCTTTTCCTTGATTTGGGAAGACTGGGTTCTGCTGGTATGCAGCATCCTTTATCTGTGGACACTATATAAAGTAATGAGAGCTGATGATCTGGGGCTGTGAGCATCTGTTCACTGTGACAGTGCTTTCACCAAAGCACTGGGGCTGCACAAAGTTAACTGTCAAGGACACAATTTGGCCTCTAAAGATTTTTGCACCCCATATGGAGAAATCTCCACCCACACCCCAGTTGAAGTTCATGCAGGCTTTTGGAGTCAGGCTTAAGTAACTGTCACTGGGGGATATGTAGAAACCAGGGTGGGAAGAGCACTTTCTGAATGCTAAACAGTCTGTGCAGGTCTCAGCTGCCCACTCCCTGAAAGGGGGAAAACAAAACCCAAACCCATAACCTCCACTGTACCTGAATCCTTTGTTTTAACATACTCCTACCTAAAACCTCTCCTTTTCCTTGCAAATAACATGTCCAACTTCTTTTCCACAGCGCAGTGCTCCTGCCTTTTAGAGCTGCAGCCTGTACCTGCTCCATTAACCTCCACTCCAGGTTCTGCACTTTAACCTATGCTGGGCTTATTTCCACATCTGCTGGGATCTACATCCTCCCTCTCTTTCTCAGCTTGCTTCCTAGGGTTGTTAAGGTTTAACACTGAGGTACAGAAACCAGTAACTTGCTTTTATTGCAGAAGATACCTTTATAATCCGCAGAGCTTGCTTGGGATCTTGTGTCAGAAGAGAGAAAGACCCATAAAAGTGGAGTTGTCTATGAATTTCTACTTCCTAGAATGGGTCTAGAAGGAAAAGTTCTATGAGCCCCTAGAAAGAGGGTTATGGTTGAACACCCTGTTTGCCTGTGCCATGTCCTCCTTACGTGCTCTCAATTCAGACAATGTTCACTCTAAAAGTAGAGTCTGGGCTCTAACACCCCTCAAATTAAATGACAGATTTGTCTTCAGTCTCTTCTGCTGCTACTTTTACAACTCCAGCCCTGGTTTCCTCACGTCTTTCTCACCTTAACAAACACACACACAAACCTTATCATTTCAGATCTTACCTTCTTGAATATATTTTTAGCATCAACCTCTCCCAACAACCTGTCTTGTTCCTTACCTCCTTTGTGAAGGAAATCTATTTTCTGTGATGGGGTAAGAGAAGAGCTGCTAGAATGGACACTCAGTGGCATCAGGGCGTTGATACATTGGCATTACAAGAGCAGCCCCCTTCTTCCTGATCTTTCAGGTGTGAGGATTGCTTGGTGTTTTTAGCAGATGGACATCTGTTTTCCCCAGGGTCCTGGCCAGGACTCCTGCCTGAAGGAGCACTTAGTACTCCTCTGCAGCTCCAGCCAGATGCCATCAGTTCTTCTGCTTCCTATTGCTTCCAGCTGCTATGTAATGCTGCTGTACAATTATTTGGCTCACTCAGTCCCAGAGGTGCCTTACTCAGACCTTCCCTATTCTTTTTAGCATAGGTGAGACCACAGGCATCAGGGCAGGAGTATGGGGCAGGTACCGCAGTCAGGAGGCTCTTGACAGAGAGACTCCCATGGTGTGGCTTCTTATCTGCAGTGATGTTTCTTCCCCCTGTTGTGAACCCAAAAAGCACTTTGCTGGCACTGAACTGCTAGTTGTATGTGAAACCTGGCTCAGCTGGGTTGGTTTGTGTCCAGTTCATGGAATCAGAGGGAGGCTATGGGACAACTCTGAAAAATGAATCTGATACTTCTAATGCCAGCACTAAGGACTGATAGTTGAACTAACTTTGGCCTTTCTCAGTATGCCATCTTCAGTTGTCTCTATTTCAAATAAGTGTATGTAGGACATCATCTAATTTTATAGAGCCTTAGATTTGTAACAAATTCATAATAGTCTCTCAAAAGTTATTCTCCCTGCCTGTTTGTTCCTAACTCCCTCTTTATGTTGACACATTTCTAATTATTTGCATGTTTCAAACAATGTATGTGGCCAAGCTGTGACAATCTTGGCTCATCTGTCTCTGAACAAGCTCTTTGCATTTGTTACCCTTGGATTCACATGCCTTGTCTGTAGCTTAGTTTCCCTAAGCAGAGACAACAAACAAGAGGGTGGTAGAAGTCATGGAACTTAAGTTTCTGAGGGGGTCGTTCACCTCTTCTAACTGGGATCCTAAAGAGCCTTGTACAGTGTGTTGGCTATGGTTAGGACTGTGACTAGCAGTGACCACAGTACAGCTACACTTCTCTTTAGGTAAAAAGTTTATTTGGAAAGTTTATTATTTATACAGCTTTTCTTAAGTAACTCACAGGTCCCTGGACACCTGACACCATATGGGACAGCCTGTACCTACTTCAGGAGTGTTAAACAGCAAGGATCAGCTGCTTTTCTTAAGCATTTTTGCATGTTTGCCTCTACAAACTGGTAAGCTTTTCCTTTGCAAACAGCAAACACAGAAGTCCAGCACTGTTTGCATGCCACTATACAACCTGCAGAGCAAGTTCCCCTTTCATTGTGTCCTGATCATCACCTGCCTGCTTGCCAAAAAGCAGAGACCAAGCCTGGTTCTGGATTGCTCCGCGAGTCCCCCTCTTCTTTCTCTTTCTCTGTAAGTTGCTCTTACAGTGAGGAGTCACACTGAGCCAGCATGTCTCATTCTTCCTTTGGTCTGGACTAGAGAATGTCTCACTTCCAGGCACAGCCAGATAAGGTTTGCTACAGTCTGGCTCGTAGAAAGCCAGGAGAATGTTGATCAGAGAACATCAGTCTGCTCTGCCCTGGTTTGTGAGAGATGTAGAGCAGCATTTCTGAAGTAATTGAGTATTCTGAATTATGACACTCTGAGAATGTGGATCAGAAAATGCACATTAAAAGAGATTAATAGTTTGTAACTAATTCAGTGAATTTGTGTTCATATGAGGTGAAGCTGCTTCATTGTTGAACTGTGAATATCTTTTATAAATAGATGTGTGTGAACCTGGTGAAGTCACTGAGGTTACTCAAGTAAATAAGCAGCTGCAGAACTGTGGCTTTAATTTAGCTTATGACTTCATAATAATTGAGGTAGCAGAAACCTGAGAAATCATATGGTATTAGGTTGAAAATGGCTGAAATTGGTTTGAAAAGTTGGACGGACCAAATGTCTCACACAGATGCTGTATCATGTATATATCGCCTAGCCCTCTGAAATAAACAGATGTAATATTTAAGGCTTTAACTGTTAATGTTGTCTAACACTGAAAACTGGATGCTTGATTCAAAGGCCCTCTGAAGCTGACAGAAGTAAATCAATTTCAAAGAGCTTTGCATCAGACCCCAACCACTCCCCAGATCTCTTCTTCTTGATTGCTGTCTAAGTTATCCTATTTAATTTAACCTCTTAATAAGGAAACTTTTGTCTCCTTCCTGTCTCTCCCAAATCCTCCTCTTTATCATTAATGCCATTTTTCTCCTCTCCATCATGGATTTGTATTAAAATGACATTATTTATTAAAGTGCACAGGGTGAATTATTTATGTAGTACCTGCAGAAATCACATGGACATTCTCCAGGCTTCCTAAATACAGTAGTAAAATTGCACAGAACTGCAAGCTGGTGCTGCTGTGTCTCACAACTGTCAGTCTTGAGGTTGCATATACGGAGAACTGAGTTTAGAGTGTTTGCAGGACCATTCTTTAGATGTCACCCAAAGTGAATGATGAGTGAGAAGAACAAGGCACAGGGCTGGGCTGTCAGTGATGCTTCTCCATCTAGCTCCCTGTAGCCACAGTTGCGTTCATAGCTGCTGATAGAGGCAGAAGTCAGCCTGCTCAAGGCCAAGCAATGTTTCTCCTGATCCTCTCTTTGTTGATCTTCCCAAATGTATTTTGTGAAAAACCTAAGCAAGCTCTTCTCCTGCAGATAGGAGTGTTGAGAACAGTGGAGTACCTTAGGTGAGAGGAACTATGCCAGCCACGCTTTGTAACAGGAGGCTGCATTGGTGAAGAATCAGAGGTGACATCATCCTATTTGACTAGGTACTTGTGTCCATCTGTCATTTCCATCTCTTCCCTCTTTCCCCACTATAAGTCCAGTAGCCAACCTCAACAAAATCAGACAGCAGAGCAGAGGTATTAGCAATATTCTTTAGGGAAATAAAATAGAGAAATGTTTAGGCATGCAAGCTTCCAGGAACAGAAGAAATGTATGAGTGCTCTCTTTAAGGGCCAGAGTGCATCAGCAGCTCAGTCTTTCTTAGACATCAGAGAATAAGTACCTGCACTTATCCATGAGATGCAATTGTAGGAATATGGACTTCATTGCTTTGGGACTGTCTTGGCAGAGTGATCTTACTGCAGTGCTAACACCAAGGATGCATCTAGCCCATTAACTTGCGTGTGCTCACTAATTGAGAGAACACACAGAGATAATGTCCCTAATTATTTTTCTGCTTGGGAAAAAAGGCTCTGCAGCAAAGCTTGGTGTTCTCTGAAGTTCATTCCTTTCCTGCTCTCCACAGTCTTGGATCTTCACTCTGTTGAAGTAGCTGCTGCTGTCTTTGCTGCACAAAGTGATTAGTAACTAAAGCACTTCCATGACAGCACTTGGCAATACGTCATCCAGTTGTTTTCTAAAGGCAATCTGAATTATTTAGTGCACTGAAGAGTTAATTTGATCAGGTCTCCATATTTCTCCTCCTGTATTCCTAGTTTCTGCGATACTTCCTGCAATACTACAGAGATACTAAAGAACAGTATAATAAAGAACTGAAGAACATCCTCAGGGAATCATGTTATGATTATGACTAACCTGATTCCCTGAGGAAGTCTGCTGAAAGAGTTCAGTAGTGCAATCTGATTAAGAAATTTCCACTCAATGTCATTCACAGTTTATGAGCTCAAATGCTCCTGATCTTACAAAATAATTCTTAAGAATAATATTGTTTTAAAAAATTCTTTGGTAATATCTTATTCTTGGTATAAAGTTACTACAAACTGCATTAGACTCGTGTAGGAGAATACTTCAGTGTCTTTCACTGAGTCTTCCAGTATATGGCCTGGTTAAACCAAAAATGAATTCAGAAAATCTTACAGCCCATCTCACAAAAGACTTGCAATCTGTGCATGCAATGAATATTTGTATGGTCTATGTAATGTATATCTAATGAAATGAATATCTGCCAAATCATGGGTGGGTAAAGTGGAGTCTGTTGAGATAATATCTGTATGTCTGGTGCGATACCCCAGGATGTAGATGATGATAATTATCAGTGCGTTCAAAAACTTCAAAGGGACAGAGTTTCTAGCCCGTGAAGATGGCACTTGGATCCTTCTGTTCAGAAGATCTGTATTTCTTTGGTTTGTTTTGGGCTGGGTTTTATTCACCACCAACAAACTACCTATTAATTCTCCAAACTTTTTGAAGAGCAAACCATTGGAAAAATAGGAAATGAGTAAGGTGCTTTTTTTAAGTTTTTCTGAGGCTTTCTATAAAAATACAGCCTAATTATGCTCCTTTTCATGCTTATGGGCCTCTTAAGTGTAAGAGTTTATTTGGCTGCTGGTAAAGCGGCCATCTAACAGTTCACATATGCTATAAAAATACTTCCAGAGCTAAACAAAACTGATTTGTTCAAGTAGGCAGATTAGAGTTGATCTAACGGCTTTTATGCTGTTGTGTACAAGAAAACTCATCATATGACTACAGCCTCACCACTGAAAATAAGAATGATGAAATGAGCAGAACTAAAAAGTGGATTCCCTGCTTCCCTCCAGCTGGTGGCAGTGGATGTTACAAAGCAAATCACCATTGTCTGAAGTTCTTCGCCACTGAAGCTCTTCCTACAGGCCCAGTGTACGGAGACCTTAATGTTAGTTCAAAGCAGTCACGTTGGTTTGTGTACAGATTTCTGTTTAAAAAAGTCACAAACTCTGTTTCTCTTTTGCAGGCTTTAAACAGTTATAATCAAGGAGATATCGAAGGCTCAAAAAGACTGGGTCGCAATGCCCTCTGGGTTGCTGTTGTGTCTATCATCATCGGCCTTGTCGTCGGAGTCTACTGCGCAGTTCATTTCACGACGGTAAGCACAGCGCTGCTAGTTCCAGGGCAACCACTTCTCTGTGCACAGGCCTCAGAATAAAAAACTGAAGATTATCACAACTATCCACTAATGTTAAAACATAATTTTTACTTATTTTGCAATTTAGAAAATACTGTTGCCTGTGGTTAAATGCAAGTGACTCTGTCTTAGCAGCAGTGATTTTCCAGAAACTCCTGCAGCTCCCGTTTGTGTTTCCAGTTTAGGCAAGTTGCTTTTTGTTTACTTCTGCCCCTCAGTTTCATCATCTGCAAGACGAAGTGCATAGAGATCCTTAGATTTCAGGTAACAGAGTCCTCAGGTGCTAATTTTCAGTCTCATAGTCTGTCCAACATTATCTTTTTACCTTTGCAAGAAGAAGGTGGCAGCCAATTACTATTTTACTGTTTGATGCTAAGGTGACCCTAACTATATCAAAAATGACCATAAATGTCATTTTGACTTGGCTTGCTATGGGGTAGGGTTGTTCACTCTCGGTGCTGTATGATTGTGATTTGCCTTTCTACACCTGGAACAACAGTGGACAAAGGAATCTCTATGCACAGTGGTGACTGAGATGGATTATAAGCTTGTTTGGAAAAGAGGACAAAAGTAATAGGGGTATTGATAAAATAAGCAAGATTATGCAACAGTATGTTCTTTTCTCCATAGTAATGTGCATTTCACATTAAAATAACCAATTTAAATCCATTTATTACTGGATGTTTCGGTTGGAGAGCCTTTCAGTGCACTGTACAAGCTTATGTATAAACAGAGATCACCTCACCCACCACTGAAATGCAAACATCTCCAGAGAGTGGAATGGATTGGCTGGTTAGAAGAAAGCCATATTGAACTACAGGAAAGTTAGTGGAGATGGGGGTCATTTCTGTAGGATATCAGTGCTGCAGGATCAGAAGCTTGCGGTATATTCATTCATCTCCCATGCATTTTGCAAGCATGAATCTTTCTTTGGTTCAGCTCGTGTTCAGTTTGCTCAGCCCTCACATATCTAAAACCAAGCCACTTCAGGCGGGGTGTGCCAAGTTTTGTAACTGACAGCACCAGTAAATTCCTCTGGTCGCTTCTGCTACCTTAGTCATCATTCCTCAGACAAGGATAGCAGCTCAGTAACTGGCAGACAGCACTGCCTTCAAGCATACAAACATTAACCAGGGCACGCTACATACATTTAGTTCTAGTCAACATTTCACTTCTGCTACAGTAGGACCCTATGTGCTGAACTTGTGCATGCTTCTTTGTGCCCACTCCCAGATATTAGTGGTAGTGAGCACTTTATATCTAGCTAGTATTTGCAAGCACCTCTCCCTCCTACCCTCAAGAAAGTTAAGCAGCAGTAAATCACTGTAATATGACTTTGGTTTTTTCTTTTGAGGATTTTTTTTAAAGTACTCTTGGTTTCTATGACCTACACATGATTATTTTTTCCTGAAAGTCAGTTTAGACTTCAGCAATATCTATGGAAAGCTTGACCTTTCCAGGATTCATTATTGTGTATTTTATCCACATGAAATTCATCAGCTACCATGTGACCCAGTTGCTCTTGCTGACATTCCTTATGGCTCCTTTTGCTCTTCAAAGGGTAACAACTCTCACTGCAAATTACCCCTGGGAGTACCCACTTGTATTCCATGTTCTGATGTATCTCTCCCTAGAGTTGGTTGTTTACCATCCCACCATCCCATTTCTAATCTGTGCTGGTACTTTATCTTCTCTCATGACTGCTAGAGCTTCTCACGGGGCATGTTACTTGAGTATTCATAAACCCTTTGATAAACTTAACTAGTTCATTCTGATTTACTTATGGTCCTGCTGACAGTATCAAAGATGCAATGTGTAATGAGTTTGAGGGCTGGATGGGTCTCAGGAGTTCTTCTGCCATGTCCCATGTCTGAACTTCTGGAATGCAACAAACTTGAGACATCCAAGTCAGGTCGGCAGGAGTGAATCTCTACCAGTTGTTACTCAACTTTTCCTCTTGGTACAGAAAACTGGTTCAGAGTCAACTGGCTCTGAAGTCTCCTTCAAAACACCTCTTCACCTTCACCCAGGGGGCTGGCTACACGTGTCCTGGAGGATCTGTAGGACAAGAAGGAACCTTCTTCTGCTAAATTTACAAACCTCAGGCCTTCCCCACCCTGGAAGTCTCCATTCAGCCCTAGTTCAAGTGTAGTCTTTAGTTGTTCATCCTTGCTTTGTGGAGCTCAGACACTCTTCTGCAGAGTCTCTCTGCAGGCCTTGTTGGTCTTCTGTTTGTACACCCTGATTCCTGCAGTCTGCTCATGTTTTCCTGAAGCCCTTTTCCCTGGGCACTCAATGCTTCATTCGGAGCACAGCTCTCATCAGAGAGGCCACCAGTGTCCCAGCCCCAAAGACAGGCAGCAGTCATTCCCTGCATCTGCAGTGTGGACAGCTTCATCCTCCTTCCAAAACTCCATCTGGGTCAAGGCATCTGATATGCCAGACAGTTGCTGTAGCAGTTTTGGGCACGATGCCCTGTGGCCTAGCACCACCCTTGCTGCACAGTCTCAGGCAGTCCCTTGCTGTCTTCAACAGTTTCTAGGTCTACTTCTGTACAAACTCACAACTTAATGGCTCAAAACATTTGAGCATCTCTCATTGAAAGCTCTGTGAATGAGCACTCAAATACTTCTCCATCTCCGGATGCAGATTCCTTCAGCATTCACTGGACAGTAATTTCCTCTCTATGAATGGCATTTCTAGAAGACCAGTTCAACGAGGTCAGTGCCTAACTTGCTGAATTTCAGTAGCCTGAGTATCAAAACCTATATGCCTATTAAAAATTCCAACCAAAGTTATCTGTTCCCACATCTCTTCTGGCTTTCCAGTACCCAAACCTACTACGTGTTTCATCTTGCTTGGGAAAGGAGTTAAGTCTTGTGCTTTAAGCAGAGCTGAGGAGGGGTCCCATGGTACTTCACATGCCTCAGCTAGGAGAAAAACATCTAGTCAGGGGTGTTGAGGAAAGAAATGGTAGAAGCTGTAGAGAGAGGAAGTGCAAGAAATTCCTGCTTTGAACAAACAGTGACATTATACCCCAGTAATACCCCCAGTAATGCTGGTAGTCTTCTGGAAGAGGAAGACCCCTTCAGTTCTCAGAAAATTCCTACCTCTGAGCTCCAAGCTTCTTTGCATGGTTTCTTTGGTGTATTTAGTTGCAGAGCAATGGTAGCACAGGAGTAACAGCAGGTGACACCTACATCTTCATGGAAAAACAGCCTTGACTTTTCATTTTGGAGATTTACTCAGGGCTTCTACAGCTGCTTTGGAGATTCTCATTTGTCTTTAACACTAGCATGTTATCTTTATCAAACATATATTAAGATGTACAGTGATAGACACACATATATATAGACTGGAACAAGGCCCACCCAACACTTGGTAACCATTTACCTTCCGCAGCCATGACCCTGCATGTATACAAGGGGGAGCTATCTCTTGCATCACTGGAGTTAACAGCCCAGCAATAAAACTTGTCTGTCTTGATCAGTGTAAACTGTTTTGTTCCTTGTTATGGTGAGGAATCACTGAGTGCTAAGCTGTGATATGTGCTGAATCAAAGCTGTCCCTCATTCCACACCAGGACAAATTTATTCATAATCCATTCTATAACTTTCACCCTTTCCTGTCAGCTTCTCCTGCACTCCTAATTTGCCAGTTCTGAATGCCGAATTACACTTCCACTGCTTGCTCAGATGTAAAACCTGTGCTTACATGCATAAATGACACATTCTCCAGAGAGCCAAGACTGTCACAGGCCTCATCACTCTATGTATGTGTCATGCTGCTGCTCACCTGTTTGCACAATTTCAGCATCTGTGGAGGAGCTCTATTGCTTAGCTAAATGTAAATCTGCAGGCAAGGCCCAGCTATTATTTTGTGTTTGTATCTCTCTTGCCTTTTTTATCTGGGTCTGTATATAGTAGGAGTATTTACTTAACAGAAAATGTAAAACTTAATGTTTTTTAAATGATGTATTGACTTGCCTAACTTTGGGGTCAGTCTCATATCTAGTTGTGTAGATGAGCACTTCTTGTATATTTTGATAGCAGTGTTTCAGGGTCAAAAAAGAGATGCTCTGTTGTGCAAAAACCATCCTTGGGGCTTTCTCTAAATTCAAGACTTGCACAGCAGTGCTATATGTGTGCCAGGTTGTACTACCCTTCCGATATAGGACAGGCAAGGATTATATGGATGTGGTTCTGGGCAACCTGATCTAGTTGACGATGTCCCTGCTCATTGTAGGGAGGTTGGACTAGATGACCTTTGAAGGTCCATTCCAACCCAAACTATTCTATGATTCTAATTTAAACCACTATTTGTGTCACCACTGAGTCTAGCCCTGAGTATGTGCCCATAGACATGTTGTCCCTCAAGAACTACAGTGAGAAAAGGGACATATGTCCTCCATAAGGAGGTATCCCTAGGAACTGCAACAGTGCAGAGCTGTGTGTCACAGTCTACATGTAGCCTTAATCTGATGTCCTTGGCTTAAAAAGACACACACACCAAAAAAACGGGGGGCTGAAGGTATGAAAGGTTTTTATTCAGGAAGACACAATCTTTTCAGGTTGGGAAAGACTTAGGAATCTGTAGTTAAAGGCAGTGAAACAGTGATTATTTGTTACCTGTTATGGGTGCAATGAAGGGGCACCAGGGAAAAGCAGCTTTAAATGAGAAGGAGGTACTTTCCATGTGTCATAGAGTGCAGCTGTGGGACTTCTTCCTTCTAGTTGCTGTGGATGTAAAGAATACTAATTACTTGCAACAGCAACAAATGAAGTTACAAGAAGAAGCTTAAGTTCAAAGATGCAGATAAATCTCAACCTCAGAAAGTTTCTAAGCTTCAGACTGACAGAGCTGGAAGGGAGAGAGATCTCCCTGGATGTAGCCTTTTCTGATACAGTCCCTTCAGGTATTTATAACCTCTCACTGTCAAAGATGGGATGCTGCAAAGATGACTGTTTGCTCTGACCCAGTACCATGCTCCTTCATGAAGCCTGTTAGTAGCCTTTCCACTGGATAACTTTGGAGTCAGCCTTCCTATCTCTTTCCAAGTATTTTGATCAGTAAAAGCTTATGATTTTGTCAGTGAATGAGGGCTCTCCAGTAGTTCACAATCTGTGTTTTCAGAGCAGACTCCACATTTTTGGGACATATTGCAAAGTCTGTTTTGTTTTGCTTTTTGATAACACAAGACATTTAGTGTCTTTGGTTTCCATCTGAGTCCCAGTGGTAGGAGTTAGGGAAATTTATCCTGGGTTGGAACCACCTTAATTGAAGGACACCCCAAGTATCCCAAGCTCTTTTCTTAACTCATTCTCAACATGCCATATTCTACTTCATGCTACCACAGGAATCATGCATTGCTCTTCCATGGCTAGGTTTGCTGCATAACCTATTGCTAGTCTGAAACAATATGCAGCTTCTTACAGCACATACTTCTAGACGATCTCTAGTGTCTGAGTGATGCTTGAGAGT